AAACATAACGAGTGATAGGCGCACCATCTGAGGGATGGTCATGCTGGAGACTCAGACTTTTGGGGGGAGGGGGGGAAGGGCATTTATTGAAACTTTAAAATCTGTATCCCCATAATATGCCGAAATAAAAAAAAAAAAAGAAAAGAAAAATGACCTGAGAAATCTTAGGCAGCAAGGTAGTACTGGGTGTGAGGATAATTGGTAATTTTTCTCTTTCTTCTTTGTACTTTTTTATATTTCCCAAAACTTCCATCAGAACTAGGGATAATTTTGCCAATGAACACAATTAGTTTGCTTTCATGCCTTTTTTTAAGCATTATTTCAAAGTGGACACTTGGGGGGCCCTTCTCCCACTGGTCCCCAATGTGGGGTGTATGGGAGTGACTTCCACTCAAGTTCTCCCAGGAGCCCAGCTGGTGCAGGGCCCTGGCTTCCTGGAAAGGGGCTCGATGCAATCACTCTCATGACCCTGTCTCTTTCAAAACACTCAGAACCACAGCCTCAAGGTTCTTATCAGTTCTGTCCAGAATGATGAAGAGATCCTGGAAACCAAACCCCAAGACTCCTTTGTCCAGCCCTCATGGGGTAATGTCTGCTCTTCTCTGGCAGCTTCGATGTACTCTGAGAACTGAGGCTTTACGTAGCTTAATTGATTGTTAGGGAAGCTGAGAGTTGTGTTGCATGGAAAGTCAATGCGAAGTAGCCAGTTAATTTCAGAAGCAATTTAGAATCATGACACCGAGGCCTTTTCTTAGTTCTTGTAGAGTTTCTCCATCACTTTCTACGTAATACTAAAATGGCTAACATTCTTTGAGGGCAGGGACTAGATCTCATTCATCTTTATAAGGGAGGCACTTCCTATAAGTGAACTCAGTGTCTCACTTAGTTCAGTGCCCAACATACTATATACTCAGTAAATAAATGCTTTTCACTGAACTGATGATGTTATATCAAAATACATGTGCATATACTTATATGTGTATACATATATATGTGCACACATATACATGCATAAGAACACATATATGCACTCAAGGAGATGGTATTAGAAGGCAGGGTATTGGGGTGTGATTAGGTCATGACAGCAGAACACTCATGAATGAGGTTAGTGCCCTTTTAATAGACACCTCAGAAGGATCCCTTGCTTTTTCTACCATTTGAAGACACAGCAAAAGGACGGCCATGTATGAACCAGAAAGCAGGCTCTCACTAGACACCAAATCCGCTAGTGCCTTGCTCTAGCACTTCCCAGCCTCCAGAATTATGAGAAATGAATTTCTGTTGCTTATGAGTTACCTAGTCTAAGAAATTTTGTTATAGCAGCCCAAGCAGACTGAGGCAGATAGTGAGGAATTAGTCATAATTACAAATATCATTCAGGGTTCCAGGTTATAGAATTGTAAGACATCATTTTTCAACCTTGGTTGTAGAATAAATTCAGCTGAGCATTAAAAAAAATAAAAAGACAAATGTCCAGGTATTCTTCTTATTATTATTTTTTTTGATCTGGGGAAAGACACTGAACTTGTTTTCTGTTTGGAGCTTCCTTGATCATTCTAATGTTCCATCAGGTTTAAATCCACTCTCTTGAATTAACTGGATTACAAATTTTCACAAAGGAAGCGGGTGCTCACCCACAAGGCACAGCGGAACAAAACCTCTTCCCGTGTATGGGGTGGGGTGGAGCACACATTTCCAAACTACATTTGCACAAACCTGAGATGCGGCTGCCTTCTCTGAGTCATATCAACTTTTCGAGTGTGTCAGCAAGGAAATGGTGCTGGGAGCCACTGCTTCAGTTCAGAGCGTCCCAGACTTTAATGTGCCCAGGAATCAACTGAGGATCTTGTACAGATTCTGCTTTAGTGTGTCTGGGTTGGGCCGCGCACCTGGAATTCTGCATTTCTAGCAAGGCCCCCAGTGACGCCTAAGCTGCTGATGCACAGTCTGCACTTAGACTAACAAAATCTCGCAGATCAGTGCACAGTGGAAAAATGGAAATCGTGAAGGATGAGAATAAAATGTGCAGGATACTAGGATAGCTGGCTTTTCATTCGTGCGGTACCAGTTTTTGCATTCCCCTTTAATGTGTAAGTGTATTGGAGGGGGGTTCTAATTTTAATATTTACTTTTCATTTGGAGACAGGCCAGCAGCGGTCCTAGATGGACTGGCTGATTTGAGGCTGCACAAGACAAAAGAGTAAAGGAGAGATTCCGATTGATGGGGACCAGAGAAGGAAAAGGATGCTCGGAGCTTTGTAAAGGAAGGAGAAGAATTATTTAGCAAGGCACATTCCTAAAATTGTGGTATGAGATAGTCAAATGTGTAGGTTCCACGTTGGCTCTATCTAAGAAAAGGAAGCTGATGTTTGTTAAGTGTTGATGGTTTGGCCTCTCCTCTGGTGCACACATTGCCTGCTTCATGTTGAGATGATGGTAAAGCTGAAATAATAACTCTACCCTTTGGAAAGCATGATCAGAAGACGTCAACTTTCTGGCTAAAAAATGAAGACCTCATGAAAGGGAAAGACTTATTTTCTTTATAGACTAGGCCATTGGCACAGGTTAGAATCACCAAAAGATATAGAGGCAGAGACAGAAGGGTCGGGGGGTGTCTCAACTACACAGGCAGAAGGAAGCTAATAGCAAATATTTGCCAGAATTGTCAAAGTGATTCCACGTTGCCCCCAAAGAGGGGAGTGAGCATGAAAATAAAGCCTGCTGCAGTGGATTGAATGGTAGCTCTAAAATAAATATGTTCATGTCCAAATCCCTGGCTCTTGTGAATGTGATCATATTTGGAGATAGGGTCTTTGCAGATGTAGTTAAGATCTGGATAAGAAATCATTTTGGATTATTCAAGAGGGCCTTGAATCCAATGACAAGTATCTTTGTAACAGAGAGGCAGATGGGGATTTGAGATGGGCAGAAGAGGAAAAGCTATAGACACACCTGTGAAACGTAGGCAGAGATTGGAGCGACACAGCCACAAGCCAAGGAGCACATGGTACCACCAGCAGCTAGAATTGGCAAGGACAGATTCTTTCCTTGAGACTTTGAAGGGAGAAAAGCCCTGCTGACGCCATGATTTTGCAATTCCGGCATCCAGAGCTGTGAGAGAGTAAATTCCTGTTGTTTGAAGCCACGCAGTTTGTGGTCATTTGCTATGGCTGCCCTAGGACAATCACATACCTGCCTTACTATTTATTCTATCAGCACGAACCTCTAATTCATCTAGCTTCTACTGAAATTGCTGTTTGCCACATTTAACCCTAATTACAACTGTGGACCTGAGAATTCATCCCCTTTGTTGTGCAACCACGGATTAACTATCATCTCACCTGGATAGACACTAGTCTGACTCCTTGCTTTTGCCTCTCTGTTTCCCACAGAGTGGGGTGATGGAAGGAGCACTGGATTTGGAGTCAGGAAGACTTGAATTCCAGCCCCATCTGTACCAGTACGTTCTGTGCCAGCTCAGACGAGTCACTAGACAAGGAAGCCAATGCCCAGAAAAGCTAGCAACACCTGCCATGCAGTCCCGCTGTCAGGACTGAAGAGGAAAAGGAGGCCACAGCACCTGGCACAGAGGAGGTGCTTGTGAGTTCAGTTCTGCGTCACACAAGGAACTCATCTGTGGACTGAGTGCCAGGAACTCCCGATACACTGTTCACAGCAAGAGGAAACGAACTAGACCCAGTTTGACCACCCCGTGGGCCTGGCTGGGAGGCAGGTTGCTCAGCCTGGACACACGGGGGTGTCTGTGGGCAGCTGAGATGCTGGGCTGCTATAGTCCCTGCTGCTCCCTCCATGTCTCTATGGACCCCAGCTCTTCACCGAGTGCCCTCCTGAGGGACACAGCCATTGCCTGGTCACCCCGCACTGCCTCCAGGCCCCTTCTGGGACCAGGAGATCCACACAGGAGACAGGCTTCTCCTTGGGGCCAGATCTTGTTTTCCAGAGGGTTAAGTAACTCCTTGAATGTCCAGAGGGAACGTCCCCAATATCATACAGCTGTAAAGTGACGGGACAATGGATTTCAACTAGGTCTGTCTGACTCTGAAACTCATGTTCTTTCTAGATCCATCTCTCTCCTGCTCATTTCTCACCAAAGGAGAATAGCAATGGTATCTTTCCAACTAGCACAGTAAAACAGAGAAGTAGATTAATTTTAAAATTAGTGCACCAAATCTTCTCAATTTAAAAGTTTTCTTTCTTCATTACAAATATTTCTTTTTTTTTAAAAAAAAGAAGTCATTCTTTGTGTTATATTTTTACTCAAAAGAATAGAACAATTTCTGATCAATAAAGCCTGGTAAAGTTTTATAAGCAACCAAAGAAAAGAAAAGTAGAGTTGAAGTAAGCTGATTTCAGAATCTACTTAATATCTTTTCTTAATATTTTGATAATGAAGATAATTTAAAGAATGCAACTTATCCTAATTTTTATTTAATTAGTTTATGAAGTTAATATTACAAACATTTCTTAAACCTTTGAGGCCTGCTATCTTTTTACTATATTCATAGACATCAGGTACAGGATGGTGTTTTTGTTTTTTTTTTTTTTGTTTGTTTGTTTGTTTATACACTTTTTAATCCTAAACTGACACTCAAGGTGTCCACAAAGAGAAAGTTGGACTCTGGGTTATCTTCTGTGAGAAAAAGTGTATAAATCACTGTCCTCTTCCTTGTCCCTTCACATTCTTGGATGTGAAGTGACTGAGGGCATTTCTGGGTGCCCTTCTGGCATCCTGGTGCTGGGATATCTTGTCTCAGCAGGCTGGGTGAGAGCGAGTGGTCTGCTCACGGCAAAGTGCTGTTACTAGAAGAGGACTTCTCTGAACACCAAAGCACCTCAACCCTGTCCCTTCAGGAAATCCCCTCCCTGCCGCGTAGGGGCGGAGACCACGTTGCACCCTTCCTCAGTTTGTCTTCCGGGACCTGACTCCTGTCCCCAGGAAGAGAAGGGAGCTGGGGTCACAGGGACATCCCAGTACTTACTGTCTGTTCATAGTTCTTGGGACCCGGAAAATAAGAGGGATCTTCAACTCAGCCTGTGGAAACAAAAGCAAACTCGTTACTGGACTTTACGCATCACATTTTAATTCTGGTGAACCTGCCACTGTCACTTCTTGTTAAAATCGGATCCAGGTGTTGTTTTAGAGGAACTAACAGAAAGAGAATCAATCCTGGTCAATAATTGGTTTGTTTCTGGAGCAGATGGGGGAGGGGACTTTCTCCCTGACATGCTGTCCTCTTTCTGTCAGCATCCATTGCATCTGCCCCCGGGAGTGGAGCAAACGTAGACCGAGCCTGGTTTTCCCTGGCGTGCAATTGTGTGCTTCCCCTGGGCACCGCGGGCACGTCAGCCCAGGCTCGGCTGGCTCTGCTCCAAGCCAGGACGTGCAGAAGGGATGCTCTCCATTTCCGAGTGTGACTTTACCATGAAATGTTTGCTGGAAGTTAGATTTATAAACCACTTTACCAGAGTAAGCAACATATTATTGGAGCTTTGCATTCACCCACATAGGAGAGATCATTAGCTTTATTCACCATATAAATTAGCAGCAGAGACCCCGAGAGTCTTTCAAAGAGCTTTCTATCTATGATCACATTTAATCTACTCAAAGACCCTGAGAGGTATAAAGGATGTGTTCCACTATATCAGCTGGGGTTCCAGCAAGAAACAGATGGCACCTTCAAATTGGTTAATTTGAGAACAGTTTAATGAAGATATCACTTAAAAGGTATGGGCAGGGCAGAGGGAATTCACAAAATACAGAGAAGTATTAGGGGTGGTAACAAAGGGATGCCATTACCATGCCTGGGCCTGGAGGGGTTAAGGGTGTGTGGGGTCACTGGGACACAGAAACAGGGCTGGAAGAAGAGGGGCTGGAGCTCTCAGTTGTGGGACTTGCAGGGAGGAAGCTAAGGCAAGTGGAATTAAAATCCCCATCTCACACTTCTGGGGGGGCACACAGCTAAGTGTAGTAGGGTACAGAGTGATTTCACAGTTAGAGCATGAGGGCCAGGGAGATTAAATCATGTGCCCAAGAACACCCATCTGCAGTAAGAGCCCAGATCCAGATGACCTAGAAATTCTATTTCCTAACCTGTCAGCATATTGCACCCCACTGAGCCTTAGCACTTCTAGTTTATGCTGCCATCTATCTATCCATCCATTCATCCATCTGTCTATCTAACCACTAGTCACTGAAAACTTATTTTATGCAAATATTGTGTCCAGGGAGACATAATCCCTGCCCTCAAGCCACTCCTAAAATTAAGCATAGTACAGTCTCTGTATCTCTCTATGATGGCTGTGATTAAACTGCTTTGTACAATAGAAGCAGATGCATATAAAACAAAACATGACAAATCCTAACTCTGCCTTGGAGAGCCAGGGGAATCTGCATTGAGGAGATAATACTCCAGCTGGGTCTTGCCACATAAGTCTGTGTCTTCCAGGTTCGGAATTAAGGAAGGTGTTGCAGGCAAATGGAGCAGCGTTGCACAGGTGTGAAGATGTCAGAGTGCATCGTGTGTCAGAGTGGCTTTGCACAGTTTGGTGGGACCACGGAGGTCAGAGGCTTGATATTGGTGGTGCATGAAAAAGAACTTGGGAAACTCCACTGGATTGTGGCTGTCAAGGATCATGCACACCCAGGGATGGGATTTGGACTTGGACTGTGTGATCTCGGATCCATACGGGCAGGAAAGTTACCAAAGAACGTGAACTGAACTTTAGGTCCTCTGAGGACCTATGGTATGCATAGTACTGCATACCACATCCTCTCATCTTATGCTTGTAGGTTGATAATGACAACAGGGAAGGGGGAGGCAGCTATTAGGCTTCTACTCACTGAGGGTCCTCCCTGGACAGTGTGGAGAGTGTCCCGCTCATGGCCTCATTGGGAAGTTATCTCCATCAGGATGGTGGGGAAGAGAACCTTAATCTTCCTCAATACAATACAAATGATGTATATCCAATACTGAAAGGGTCCTAGGCTGGAAGTTGAGAGACCTCTGTTCAGTTCCAGCACTATCCATAACTAGCTGTGTGGCTTTGGAGGAGCACTTGGTCCCTTTTCACTTATAAATGGTAGTATCTTTATTTTACATGTTGTCATAAGTGTCAAATAAGTTGATGCATACAAAGATGTCCTATAAGAAGATGTCTTAAAAACTATAAAATGTTATGAAATATCGATTTACAATTACTTGTATAACAAAGCAAAGTTTGCAAGTTGCTTTAACACAAGTCATGTTATATTTGGTTATGTAGGGCTATTGACACCAATTTTTGGATACTATTATTTAGAGGGATTAAATTACTTGATTATTGTCATACAGGACAAATCTTCTCCTCACCCCCTTGAAAGTATTTACTACTTAAAGATAGTTGCTTATACAGCTACTTCATTCCTCTGAATGCATTGAGTACTGTTGAAATGGAATAAAGTAAGCCAATCTTTACCTATGCGCCTGGCTTCTTGGCCAGCTCTTATGTACAGAGTGAGGAAACCAGAGAGACAGGACAGATCCCTGTAAGGATTATGGCCTCAGATCAGAGGCCTGGGAAGGTGGCCAGGGAGGCTGTTGTGAGCCCTGGCCCTGCCATGGCTTGTATAGCATTGAAGAAGGCATCAGAGACCTCTGAAAAATGAGCAAGTTGGGCCACATTGATCTCCTCCATCTCAAAGATTTCCATAAAATAGTTTAATTTAAAAAATGATAATCCATCAATATTTGGTGACAAAAAATGGTTTAAAAGTTAGAATATGCTATTACATTTCTTATATTTTATTGTCTTCTCAACTAGAGCTCCTTGTAGAACCAAATTGCTTACGACTCTGCCAAACTGCAAACACATCCGATAACAGGGAGGGATCAGGGGGAATCCTTAACTTTTGCCTTGTACATAAGCCTTTGTAAGTTATTTGATCTGTTACATCACTGGTTATTAGTATTTTACAATTTAAAGAAAAAATTTTAAAAATATACATTCTATTAGCAGCAGTTGAAAGATAGGATCAATCTATTGTATAAAAAGTTTTAAAATACTACAAAGAGAGCCCAAACTTTCCTGGCATTTTGTGAAAAGCTAAATTTGGGGCTTTTGTGACCCACACCAGATTGTGAGTCAACCAAGCAGTATCACAGGCAGGACAGAAGGATGGCACACTTCCAGGCAAACAGCTTTCTGCTCTACTCAGAATGCCGGAGACCTTCTGAAAGCACCACAACCTTATCTGATCTTGGCCATTTTGTAAAGGATGTGGTGAGAAGAGTGAGACAATCGGAAAGAGTTTTATGTCCACGGGTTTTATGAAGGTAATATATTATAGAAAAGGCACAGCCCTTCCCTTCCTGTCGTGTGCATTTTCAAAGAGAAGAGAATGAACATTGATCGCCTGTTATGTGTCCCCTGCCCCCACTGCAGTAACTTCATAGGACCCGAATTACGATCCTTATTTCATACAAAACCGAACTGACATTCTCGGATGTTAAGTGCCTGGCTTCACACGCCCTAGTATAATGGGCTGGTATTTCAAACCCACTGGCCCTGACACTTTTTAGTTATGCTTTGGAAAAACTGTTTACCCATTCTGAGCCTCGGTTTGTTTATCTGTAAAATGGGGGTAATGCAGCAGTGATCTTGTAGGGCTCTTGTAGGGATTACATGAAAAAGTAAAGTCTCTAAGACATGGGCAAATAGTGAATAATATGAACTTGAACTTGAGGATTAATTCAATGCCTTATATCACTTCTAAGTTATTGTCTCTACACAGGAGAGGTGCTTACCTGCAGCTCACAACCAATGGTGGCATAATGACAGGTTCTCATATCTGTCTCTGCCCCTTGGAATTACCTAGAGTTGCCTAGAAAATTTAATTCAGTTGTTTTTGGGAAGAACCCAGGTGAGGATACTGTTTAAATGACCCAAGTACTTTAATAGGCAGAGAGGAGCGTATGTAAGAGACATAGAGCAAGGTCTCTGTCCTCCTAGTACTTATCTGTTTTCTTTATAGTTCTATAAATGATTATAATGGAGTGAAATTAAATGTGTATCTGTAAAATATCAAGGAACATTGGGTGTTATTGAAGCACAGAGGAAGACACATTCAGAGGGATCCGCACTGCTTCTTATGCAGTTAATGGAACAGTTTCCCTGCCAGCTCCCGTGCAGCTCTCCTGAGTCGTAGCCTTGACCCCAACGTGGGGCTTGATAGTGGAAGAAGGAACAGGACTTCCAGGCTCAGGAGCCCCCAGCCCTGCAAGTCTTTCTCCAAGGGACTGTTGTCCAGGACAAAAGAGTAAATGCCATTTTCTTGCCTTGACTCAGAGAAGTCAAGGAGAAGGCGGAGAGCCCCATCAACAGGGAAAATCTCCTTGTGTTTTGTGCACTCACTTTCTATAAGAATTGGGGCATTTACTTCAGTTTCTCTTCCTGGTTATCCACAGAAATAAAGCCCATGCTTGGCTTTCACTGGTAAGAGAAGGGACACTGAGGTGCCATCTGTCAGTCCTGCTTGTGGAACCCAGAGTCACAGGAGGACCCTTGGCAGAGTGATGATGTTAATACTATGTGCAGAGTTGCCCCTTCCTGGGGAAGCTGAAAGAAGCTCTTGAGGGTCTCGAGAGGAGGCCCCACTCTGCTGCCAGGGGTGGGGACAGGGCAGGAGGAGACTGTCTGGTGGAGCTGTACAGAGGTACAAAAAGAGCCCAGGTCTTTTGACCATCTATGAGGAGAGGCTGCCTCTTCTCATAATGCCTGTTTATTTCTCCAGCAAGGGAAACTATCACTGCACTAAGCCTTGGATGCCAATGCAAATCTAACCCTAAATGCCAACTCGGACACTAAAATTGCCTGAATGTATATCAGGCTCTAAAGCCTAGGAAGAAAAGCCAGAATATGCTCATAATTAATTTATTTTGGGATGGAAAAGTATGCTTTTGTATATGCTGTGATGGAGTGCTGGTGGAATTTACAGACCCTGCTCTGGAGCTCCTTGGGGATACAAAATGAACCCCAGTTTGTGAAACACTGTTT